CTCACTCCCTCTGCTGTGTTTTCTGCTGTTTTCCATGTGAATTCATTGCCAGAGCTGTGTATCCGAGTGCCCAAGGTCACTCGAAGCTACGTGGATCAGCATGCCACATAGATCACGACGCCTCGTGGATCCCGACGCCACGTGGGATGTGGACGAAACCACATGGATCTACGAGCCACCTGAGTTACTGAGCCAGACATCCCAGGCCACATGCTGATGTCTGCCTGACGTCACCTCGCGATGTCACGCCTGACATCACATGATGTCACATTGAGTGTTTCAGTAATTATGTCAGTATTGTCGAGAAGATTGAGAGATATATGTCCTGTGTTAGTTAATTCCTTTCAGTCAGTGTTCTCATATGTTAGTGTATGGCTTAGTGTCAGTTTTGTGCATAGAAACGCATCATTTGCTAGTTTAAGCCATGTTGTACCGCATGTACCGTGGGTGTGTGTAAAGTTTCCATGTGTCCAGTGTGGTCTTGAGCCCAGACCCCAGAGTAGCACCCTTGTGTTGTCACCCAGTGTGACCAGCGCGTTTGACAGCTGATATTAGTCAGCCCTGAGCGTATGAGCCCCATGTACAGAAAGCTCTTATGCTCGTCGCTCATAGGTGTTCTGCAGAATCGTATCTGCTACAATTCCCATCGAGATTTGTTTCACTTCACCTCCAGACCTTCAGAGTGCAGTTATATGTAGAGAAACAAGTCTGGGGACGCTTAGACTAACCTCTGCTATAACTCCAACTGCCGAGAGAATGACACTTGTCAAGCCGCAGTTTAAGCCCTGTCAGCAGGCACTGTGTCAGCCTCGTGTCAAGCTTCAGTGAGCTCCTGCACAAAGATGATGTCACTTTGACTGCTAGCTCGCTCACTGCAGTCTGGTGTATGATGTTACGACTCCCAGATGTTTCACCCAGTTGTCTTTGCCACGACTCGCTCCACAACTCACTCCACGCTCACCGGCAGTGACAGCCCAGCGACAGTACCAGTCGAGAAATGTCCTCCTGAGTCACTTGCCAGAAGAAGTCCTGCCCAGTTCCCAAGTTTTGACGACGCCTCACTCGAGGGCACCAGAATGTCATGCCCCAGGTTGAGTGAAACCTGCAGTGACTCCTACGATGACTGCTTCACCGTTCTAGAGGAGACTGTACCCTGTTACGTCACAGTTTAGCCGCAGCAATGTCTCCTGTGTTGCAGTATCTGTCCAGACACAGGAAGGCATGCAGTGATACCCTTCGACGCTCACTGCCTTTGACCACATTGTTTAGCACACCCCACATGTTTTTTTCTTCCCTCCCTGTAGGAAATTTTTTTTTTCCATGTCCATATGTATATACATGTTTTTATTTTGTGTTCTGTGCCCTGTTCCTACGAGAGAGAGACCGAGTTTTTTACCACCAGTATTGTCGCGTCGGGACGATGCGAGGTAGGTGGCCGAGCAAATGTAGACAGCCTGTACTGTCTGCACAGACAACCTATGCTGTCTGCCAGCTTATTTCATATTTCGCGGCACTCAGGTGCTGTCCTCTCTCGGCCTGCCCAGGTCAGTGGGACGCTGGTCCCACTCACCCTCACTCACTCAGCGGCCTAGCAGTCAACAGTCTACTCCCTCTCTCCCTCGTGGCCATGGCCCTCTCGGGCCATGGGCACAACACACAAACCTGTGTACCCACCACGACTTTGCAAATAAAGTAAGAAGCCTCCGAAGATGTCTATACATGTAATTGAACCCCGCTCCACTGCAGCATCACCAAATAATTTTGTTTCACACACTGCATGCTCCAGGATTTTCTTTATATGGTGCACACTGACCACACAGACCCATTCTCTCACATGTGGGCCTACCAGCTTTCTCCTGCTTGATTTGAAGCCGCTAGAATTTATGAGGATATGTACGTCAAACATGGTACCTCGTAAGACGTATATATACAACCAAAACAGTCAAAGGGTTAATAGAAAATTAAAAATAGGTTACATAAATACATGAGTGAGTGTGGGTGAGTGTGAGTTGGACCTGACTAGCTTGTGCTACTAGGTCTGATGTCATGCTCCTTCCTTCAATGGATGTGACCTGACTAGGTGGGTCACTGGTCTAAGCCTGGGGAGGAGGGTGACATGGACTTGCCTTGCATGGGCCAGTAGGCCTTCTTTCTTATGTTCTTATGTATTCGGCAGGCTGGCTGGCTTGCTTGCTTTGGCTGTCTCTCTGTCTATATCTCTATCTGTCTATATCTCTGTCTATCTATATCTCTGTCTCACATGTACACATAAGTACATTTATTATACATAGTGTAAATTACCTAGGATAACTCAAAAATTCTAGGCAAAGATAGACAGATAGACAGACAGATATGTTTGTGTGTATCAGTGAAAACAAATAAAGCCAGGGTTCATCCCCGAGTGCCCATTTATCAAATGTCACTGGGCTGTCAACACTTGTCATAATGCCACTCTTCAAGGAGTTTCATATACTATACTCCAGGCAGACAGACAGATAAGCAGAGACAGACAGGCAGACAGATACAGACAGATAGACAGACAGACATGTTTGTGTGTAACAGTGATAAATACAGTGAGAGTTAGCTAAATACATGAGTGAGTGTGGGTGGGTGTGAGTTGTACCTGACTAGCTTGTGCTACTAGGTCTGATGTCATGCTCCTTCCTTCAGTGGATGTGACCTGACTAGGTGGGTCATTGGTCTAAGCTGGGGAGGAATGGACTTGCCTTGCATGGGCCAGTAGGCCTGCTGCAGTGTTCCTTCATATGTTCTTATGTATTTGGCAGGCTGGTCAGCTGGGTGGCTGGCTTTGGCTTCTCTCTGTCTATATCTCTGTCTATCTGTCTCTCTCTCACATGCACACATAAGTACAGTTATTATACATAGTGTAAATTACCTAGGATAACCCAAAAATTCCAGGCAAAGAAAGACAGACAGATAGATAGATAGACAAATAGACAGACAGACAAACATGTTTGTGTGTATCAGTGAAAATAAATAAAGCCAGGGTTCCCCAAGCACCCATGAGCCCCTATTTATCAAATGTCACTGGGCTGTCAACAGTTGTCATAACACCATTCTTCAAGGAGTTTCACATACGTATGCTCCAGGCAGACAAAAAGACAGATAAGCAGAGACAGACAGGCAGACAGATAGACAGACAGAGAGACAAGACATGTTTGTGTGTAACAGTGATAACAAATACAGCAAGGGTTAGCTGGAGCAGTGGGCATTTATGAAATGTCACTGGGCTGTCAACGGTATAGGGATGCCTTTCATAACACCATGCTTCAAGGTATACGCCAGGGTATCTAAAACATTGCTGGGACCTATAAATACTTTGTATATATTTCTAGACAATAGTAAATAACCCAGGCAGGTGTAAATGTTCACCTCTTAATGTGACTGTGACTCTTTGAGCACTATTTAGTAGCTAATATTAGTGTCATAACAAAGACTGGCTTTGAAATCACAAAAACTATCATAAATTGTAATTATCAGAACATAAAAAATACGTATATAAATTAAAATAAAAACGAGAAAAAAAGGTATATTAGCAATACTTCTGCAAGCGGAAGGAGTCAGTGTTCCCGTCAGGTGAGCATCCAGAGCCAACTTCACTGTCTTATATCTCGGCAAGTACTGACCCTAATTTTTTTTTTTTATCCTATAACATGTAGAAAAATGCGCTCTTCATTTCAAAAAAAAAAAAAAAAAATTATTTCTCAAAATATTTGGAGCACCACACCAATGAACACAGATCTACGTTTGGACAGTTTAAGGGTTAAGAATAATAATTTTGAAATCATTTCTAATTCAATAAATTTATTTATTTGACGAGTTTTTAAACACTTAAAAAAATGAAATATAGACTACGGTGTTCTTCACACCAACTCCAAGGCTGCAGGACTAATTACCTCATCTTTTGTATATAGTTCTATTTTCTTTCATTCATGTCCTTGAATTTCTATTGATAAAGCCACTGGATATTGCACCTATCTTGATTTTCATCTTATTTTAATAAAACACTGATAATAAAACACTTAAGTTGAAAAATTATGTTACTGTATATAGCCCATGATAAATATATCTTAAAGTAATTCTAAATAAGCTAGCCAATTTAAATACAAGTTTCTAAAAACTGTTAGCCATTCAGTTGAACTAAATACAGTAGAAAATAATATTTAATTTACTTAATGCCAGAGTTTGAGGAGCACCAGTATGTGAAGGCTCCAGCTGCATCAGTAGGACCGTCAATGCCATCTGTTCCACCAGACAAAAACATGATTTCTCCAACAAATTTTGATCCTCGCAGCTCCTGAAATGCAAGTAACGATTTGCATATTGCAGGTCAGCCATCACTAATCCGGCATCATTGGGACCTCTAGTGCGCCGGATTAGTGAGTTTGCTGGATTACAGAGTGGTTAGGTTAGAATACACATAGTTAACTATCAGTAAAGATTCGTTCTGCTGCATCTTCCTCATTTTCATCACTGTTTTCTCCTCCACTGGCTTGCTGCTGTGGATTTACAACCATCTGCACAATTTCTGAGTCAGTATACTGATGATATTTGAGTCAGTATAATGATCTGAGTCAGGATAATGATGAAATCTGAAATTATGCTAACCGAAATTAGTGCCGGATTACTGATGGAACCGGATAACTGATTGCCGGATTAGTGATGGTCGACCTGTACAATTTTTGATATGTTACACTCATGTGAGTATGTACCAACTCATGTAATTCTTCAAATGTTTCACATTCTTGTTCAAGTTATTTTTTAATGCAAATTTAACTGAAACTGAAATGTTTAAGGAAAATTTAACATAAGGAAACCCCCTTAAGACATGGAAGCTGCTGGAGAGAATAAATTAAAAAGGCTGTAGACAGAAAATGTTAGACCAATAACTAAAATAATCTGAACAGAAAGTGAAGAATGAAAATGTTCTAAAAATAACATAAGAAATATAGAACAGTAAAGGAAGACTTAATCATTACCTCCTCTAGAGCCACACTAGTAGAAAGGACCATCTCTTGATTTCTTCCTCCTCGACCTGAACCTTGGACAGTAACAGTGGTCTCACCACCAAATATTAGCCATATGGGACACTTTATTTCAGAACTATTTTGCAAGGTTTCTGTGATAGCTTTCTTTTTATCAACAGTGACACACAAATCCAAGAGTAATTCATCACATAGCTCATCCTCACTACCACATAATATCTGAGTTATGGCTACTACTAATTCTGCCATTTTTGTACCAATTTTTGAAGCTTCACCTTTAAGGGATGATGTGAGGATTAATGAAAGGCAAGGACTGCTAGTCTGAGAGGATAATGAAGCTTCAACACCTAGTAAGGCTGTTTCATTGCTTCCTATAATATGGTTAATGACATGTGGAAATTCTAACATTGAAGAATGTATTCTTTTCCTCTGAATAATTTTCTTAACATAATCTTTAGTTGATATATTATACTTTTTAAGAATCTTCTCAGCAGCTCCAGGAGTATCCCTGTTAGGCACAGTTGGCCCACTAGCAATCATATCAAGGGGGTTGTTGATAATATCTGACAGGATAAAAGAAACAATCCTTGCTTTTGTTAATTCTGCTAGTCCCCCGCCCTTTGTTAAAGAGAGTTCTTTTCGCACTGTATTGAGCTCAGTGATAGTTGCCCCTGCACGGCTCAGTGATTTAGTCATTTCACTTTTCTCATTTAATGAAAGAGGAGGAATTGGATATGGCAGGAGAGCTGAGCCTCCACCTGATATCAAAACTAATAAAAGGTCTTCCTCGCTTAATTTCTCTAATAGTGAAACTATTTTTTTTGCTGCAGCAAATGCAGCTTCATCTGGTATATTGTCTTTGGCTCCTTCCAAAATCTCAAGGCATGAGCACTCATTTGGTAGCATATGTGGTTTATCTGCTAGTGATTTCTGAATTCCAAGTGGAACACTTACAATTCCTCCCTTCAGGTGGGACCCACCATCTGATGTCACCAGGGCTAACTGAATGGGCTTCACCATTCCAATAACAGCTTTTCCAAATCCAATAACATATACATTATGGTGAAGGTCATATTTTGTACCATTAATAAACAATTTATCTGTGTCTTGTTTTATGGATTTTCCAATAAGTTCATGTGGCTGAACAGTATTCACACCATCCAAGAAAGCCTTTTTAATTTTTGTAATATTTTCTTGTGCGCTACCTCCTAGAATTTTGGCAGCCATGGTAAGACTTCTCATATGAATTATTTTGTACCGAATTGATAGCAAGAGTTTTCTGGAAACTGGACAACTTGTGCATCTGAAAAGAGAGATAGATAGGCTCTTAAACTGAAAAAAATTTAAATATAATTTAATTTACAATTCTACATACTGTACCTAATTTTTTTAACACACTATCTCCCACTAAGGTAGGGTGACCAGAAAAAGAATCACTTTCACCATCATTCACACTATCAGTGTCTTGCCAAAGGTGCATAGATACGAAAGTTAAGATGACCCTTGAAACAGCAAATATCCCCACCCCTCTAGAGTGCAGGCACTGTACTTCCCACCTCCAGGACTCAAGTCCTAAAAACAAATATAAACAGTCCTCCCTCACAAATCCGGCATCATTGGGACCTGTAGTGTACCGGATTACTGAGTTTGCCGAATTACAGAGTGGTTAGGTTGGAATACACTTAATAAAATTAACCAACTTGACTTACACAGTTCATTGAACATCGGCAAAAATCGAACATTTCCGCTACTTTGAGCTCAATTTCAAGGTACTTTTCGTCATGAAAGCAATCAAAATCATGTCTATTTCTGTAATATATCTTCCATTCTATCAAATGAGTCCAAAAAATGAGAATACAACCATAAAAAACATACGAAAATATACTGCAAAGAGGCGGCTAATGGCTGAGAAGTGAACTCCCTTATTTATCGTCCGTCTTTTTTATTTTTGTCGTACGTTAAGAAGCATCTTTCCGTCATACATTGCCCAAGTTTCAACGAGATAGCCCAACAAACAACTGAGAAAAAAAAATATTTACCAAAAATCATATATGGCAAGCCCAAGCCAAGTACTGGAAATAAGTCACTTTGTCTCACTTTTCTGGGTTATCCTAGGTTCTCTATACATACACTGCTATGTATGATAATCTATGTAACTGTATTTGTGTATACCTGAATAAACTTGTAAAGTAAAAGGACACAAGTGCAACTAATGTGACATTTTATTGTGGCAACGTTTCGCTCTCCGGGAGCTTTATCAAGCCATTACGTAATGGCTTGATAAAGCTCCCGGAGAGCGAAACGTTGCCACAATAAAATGTCACATTAGTTGCACTTGTGTCCTTTTACTTTACATATTGTCAGTAATTCTACCAACTTTATTACAATCTGAATAAACTTATTTACTTCTAGTCAACTGAGTACAAGAAACCGCCCATTCACTTATTTCAACTACCCAATAAAGTGGTCAGAAATTGGCAATTTGGCTGATTTCACACAAATTTCAAGATGCCAATTTCAAAATAGGATCCAGAATAAACAATGCAGACATTCCTGGCACTAAAGTAACAATTTCTCTGTTCATTAGTCACGGCTACAGGCCCCTCTTATATTACTCTTGCTTACCATTTGGAATTTTTGTTCACAAAAAAATAGAAGATTTACTTATATGCAGACTACTGCATTATTGTAATAATTGTATAAATAATGTCAATCCATTCTTGACTCCGTACTGGAATTTAGACTGGCAGGTGGACAGGGGCCTGGGAAAAATTCAAAACAATGTTCACTATCATCCTTGATAATATTGCACCAGTTAGAGAGGTTAGGATTAAATGAAGAACTGAACCCTGGATGACTACTGAGATATTAGATAATATGAAATTCAGAGACCAGCTGCTAAAACAATTTAAAGCAAACAGACAGGATATTGCAGCACTAAATGAATTCCAAAGGGTGAGGAACAGAGTACAGAGACTTATAAAAGGAGCAAAGGCAAAGAACTATTGCTCAAAAATTGAAGAGTATAAGCATAACCCCAGAAAGCTCTGGCAACAACTAAATTATTATTATAATCAAAAAAGAAGCACTAAGCCACAAGGAGACAACAACTAAAACAGTTGGGGTATAGCCATAAGCCAGTAGATAGGTCTAACATAGTACTCACTATCGATAATGAGGTATGCCACGAAACATCTAAGGTGGCAAATTGCTTTAATTCCTACTACACATCTGTTGCATCAACATTAGTAAGTAAACTACCAGCTGCATCAAATACCTTTAACACAGACTCTGATAAGTTTCAAACATACTATACCAACAAAGGGGTAACCCCAAACAGTTGTCAACTAGTAGGTGTATCTCAAGACTTTATTCAAAAAGAACTAAGCAGGTTAAACCCAACTAAGAGCACAGGCCCTGATAACATCCCGTCTAAGTTCCTAAAAGATGGTGCTTCTGAACTGTCATCCTATTGCTCACATAATAAATCTATCAATCACCACTAATACTGTACCGGAGGGGTTCAAGGAGGCCAGAGTTACTCCTATCTTCAAGAAAAATAGTAGGTCTGATGTCAGCAACTATAGGCCTGTTAATATACTCAGTATAATATCTAAAATTCTAGAGAGGGCGGTGTACTCTCAAGTAGTTAAGTACCTTAATGACAACAACATTCTCCGTAGCTATCAATCGGGCTTTAGAAGATCCTACTCAACCGACACCTCCCTAATTAATCTGATGGATTACCTGAGAACTGAAATGTCAAAGGGGAACCTCATAGGTATGGTAACCTTAGACCTGCAAAAGGCCTTCGATACTGTCAACCACAATATATTATGTAAGGAACTTCAAGCTATTGGTATAGGTTCTGTAGACTGGTTTAAGTCCTACCTTAGCAACAGGAGTCAAATAGTCAAAATCAACAAAACGGAATCAGAACCCCTGCCGATAACATGTGGAGTTCCCCAAGGTAGTATTCTGGGTCCCTTATTATTCTTATGTTATGTCAATGACATGCCTATCAGTGTCAAGTGCAAACTCCTACTGTATGCAGATGACAGTGCCCTGTTAGTGTCAGGTAAAGACCCAAAAGATATAGCTAATGTTTTAACACTGGAACTGGAGTCCTGCACCAAATGGTTAGTAGACAACAAACTATCATTATACCTCGGGAAAACTGAAGCCATTCTCTTTGGCATGAAACATAAACTGAGAAGGGTAAATAATTTTAATGTCCAGTGTAATGGGGAGCCCATCACTTTGGTTTCATCAGTAAAATATCTGGGAATCCCCTTTGACCCATGCATGTCAGGAGAATTGTTAGGGAACAGTGTAGTAAAGAAAGCAAATGCCAGACTGAAGTTCTTGCATAGACAAGCACAGTGTCTACCTACTGAGGCTCGCAGGACCCTATGTCTAGCCCTTATACACTGCCATATGGATTACACTTGCTCTTCATGGTACTCTGCCTTGACGAAAAAACTGAAAGATAGACTGCAAATCACCCAGAACAAAATCGTAATATTCATCCTGGGGCTGGGACCAAGAGAACATGTAGGCCAGGATGAATTACAGCAGTTGGATATGTTGAATGTTGAAGACAGAGTAAAACAACTGAAGCTAAATCATGTTTATAAAATTGCTCACAAACAGTGTCCAGAATATCTTGCTGTCAATTTTGTCAAGGTTGGGAACCAAAGCAATCATAGTACTAGGGGGTGAGAGCACAACTTTGTAGTACCCACAGTCATTGGCCAGGCTTCAAACACCTTTTATTGTACAGCAATAAAGAAATGGAACAGACTGCCTGCACATGTCAAAGCCAGTCATAGCATGAACCAGTTCAAGAAGACTGCCAAAAGGTGTCTGATGAATGTAGCTACAGAAAGGGAGGGCAATGCGTTTCTATTTTTATGTTAACATACGTGTAAATTTTACCTTATTCCTAGTAATGACCCTCTTATTGTAGATAGTCTTAATGACCCTCGTGTAGTAGATAGTCTTTTTAGTGTGATAATATGATGTTATCTTCATTATAGAATAATAAGAAAATATTATAATCTTTATATTATAATAATAAGGTGAAAGGACCCCAATGGAAATAAGTCACTCTGTCTGACTTTTTTGGGTTATCCTAGGTTATCTACACATATGCTGCTATGTATGATAATTCTATGTAACTGTATTTGTGTATACCTGAATAAACTTACTTACTTAGGTATTGGACAGTGACGTCATTTGTTTACTCTTGAGCTTCGCTAAAGAATAGAACATTTTCGCTACTGTGAGCGCAATTTCAATGTACTTTTCGTCATGAAAGCAATCAAAATCATATCTATTTCTGTAATATATCTTTCATTCTATCAAATGAGACCGAAAAAATGAGAATATAACCATAACAACCATACAAAAATATACCGCTAAGCGGCCGCTAATGGCTGAGAAGTGAACTCCGCTATTTATGGTCTGATTTCTTTCATTTTTGGTGTACATGAAGTATCTTTCCAGCATACATTGTCCAAGTTTGAATAAGATAACCCAGCAAACAACTGAGAAAATAATAATAATAATAATAATAATAATAATAATAATAATAATAATAATAATAATAATATTTACTACACGTACATGTACAAGGTATACAGGCCTAGCTGACATCAGCGACATACTACTGTATAGAAAGCCGCTTGTTATGCCGAGTATTTCAAGAAAATTAGGTCAGTGTCCCAGGATAACACCCACAATAATATATGGCTAACCCAAGCCAGGTACTAGAAATAAGCCACGTTGACTTTTTTGGGGTTATCCTAGGTTCTCTACACATATGCTGCTATGTGTGATAATCTATAGAGAGAAAATAACTTTTGTTTCATGTTTATGGAGTACGAGTGTATATCATAGTTAGCCCTGTGCTATACTCCGTTTTCTCTAATATAAGCCACCAAGACAAGGATAGGAGAATGGTATTTGTTTACCATATCCTCTTCATAACTCTGTCGAACTGCTCGGTGTTATGCCAAATATTATTCATTCTGGAGTATTTAACATGTTTTATGTTATTTACATTGTTTCTTATGTCATATTAGATCAATTGTGATAGGCAAATAAGCTGTAGTTTTGATATTATAATAAAGCATATTCTGCATCATGATACTGAGCTCATGGCAACCGACAGTGGCTTCAAAGCCACCTTATCTTTAATGGATAATGTACTGTGTAGGTGCTTTACATAATGAGAAGTATTTTCTTTTATTCATTGGAACCATGGCTAGGGCTAAAAGCAAGCAAGTTAAAACAATAAATGGAGAAAAAGAAATTGGAATGACTTATGCAGCAAGTAGCGCCACCAAACAGTAGCAGCAGGTTGGTGCTCTAACCCACGGGACCATACATTCCTACAAGAATCACGCACTCAGCAGAGCTAGGTGTTGTAATGTGATCCGAGAACATTTGATGGTGTGGGTGCTTCAGAGCTAATTTCTCCTCACCGTTTGATGTACTAGCCTCCATGAGCAATATATATATTATTGCAACCACGAACAAGGGGTATTTAATCAATAACAGCACTGCGACTAGCCGAGGATTCGAACCCATGTCGTTTTTAGCCAGCCCCATGGTGAGCGAAAATCACTTGATCATGATTACAGGTTAGGTTAGGTAAGGTTCGTCAGGAAACAGGACAAATGTTTCCTGACGCGGGTCTTAGTCAGATGATGACCCGCCTTTGGAGCTTTTGGTCATCTGACCGAGGCCTTCCGCTGGCTTACCGGTCCACCCCTTTAAAAATTATGGTCATTTATAACCATTGTTATATCATGATTACAATAATATAAAATACTGCTCGTGGAGGCTAGTACACCAAACGGGGAGTGGAATAAAATTAACTCAGAGGCACCCACACCACCGTATGTCCTCAGATCACGGTAAAACACCTAGCTCTGCTAGGTGTGTGATTCTTGTAGGATTGCTTGTTCCTGTGGGTTAGAGCATCATGTGTGATTTTCGCTCACCATGAGGTGGGCCAAAATGACATAGGTTCTAATCTTTGGCTAGTGGCAGTGTTGTTACTGATATATGTGTGTGTACTCACCTAGTTATGGTTGTAGGGCTCGAGCCACAGCCTCTGGCCCCACCTCTTCACTGGCCGCTACTGGGTCACTCTTCCTGCTCCATGAGCTTTATCAAACCTTTCTTAAAGCTGTGTATGGATCCTGCCTCCACTACATCGCTTCCCAAACTATTCAACTTCCTGACTACTCTGTAACTAAAGAAATACTTCTAACATCCCTGTGATTCAACTGAGTCTTCACCTTCCAAGTGTGACCTCTTGTTGTTGTGTCCCGTCTCTGGGACATTCTCTGTCCACCTTGTCGATTCCTCTCAGGTGCTCTGTTGTGATAGAAACACAGGCCTTATCTCTAGGCTTTATTGAATATAGAATCTTCATAGTACTTCTGCAACAAAATATAATGACTAGTACATCTAATAACGGCTTCTACAGGGATGGTGATGTCTTGCATATGTCAAGAGAAAAGTTATAACTACAGGCCACATATTTAAACTCACCATGTAATCTGCATCACTAATATATGGATAGAAGAGAAGAGAATCACACACCATGTGTTGGCGCCCATGACACACACCAAACTGTTGTTGTTAAGGGCCCCGAGAGGTGGTGCAGTATTATCCTGCTGCTGCTCCCCACAGGAACAGTATCACTACAATCTCCCCCTTCTAAAATATCAGAGACAGTAATCTCCCAAACTCTTAGGTGGGCGACGTACACGTCCCGACCTTCGTAGCCCTTGAGCCTCTTCACCAGGTTCAATATTTTCCAGCAGGGTTTGACTTACTGCTTGTGGAAAATACTGTATATATTTTCCGGAAATACGGTAATTTATGGGTAAATAGATGCCCTATATTGTATTTTTAAAAGAAGTATGTTATCGAAAAAAAGGAGACTCGCCATCTTGGTTTTGAATTTTGTATTAGAAACGTTGTAATGGGAAGAATTTTTCGTGCTCTAGAGGTTAAAATTGGATTGACACTTCTCAAATAGGAGGCAAAATTGTTGGACATGCATTCCTGCATAACTTGAGATATCATACGACTGGACAAGACAGCTCCAGGAACCTCAGATAAGCTCTCTAGATTGTGTATAATTCTGGCCAGTGTTTTCATAAATTTAGTTAGTGAGGTTTTTCTGAGTATGATACAACTTAATATCCAGTCAAATTGGTGAGTGATATTAAGATATATTTTCCTTCTGTTATGTGTATGTGAATTTATATATAATCATTTTTTAATATACAGTCCACAAATTTATATATTTACCAGTATTCCTGGTGTTTACCTGGAGAGAGTTCCGGGGGTCAACGCCCCCGCGGCCCGGTCTGTGACCAGGCCTCCTGGTGGATCAGAGCCTGATCAACCAGGCTGTTGCTGCTGGCTGCACGCAAACCAACGTACGAGCCACAGCCCTGCTGATCAGGAACTGACTTTAGGTGTTTTTCCAGTGCCAGCTTGAAGACTGCCAGGGGTCTGTTGGTAATCCCCCTTATGTGTGCTGGGAGGCAGTTGAACAGTCTCGGGCCCCTGACACTTATTGTATGGTCTCTTAACGTGCTAGTGACACCCCTGCTTTTCATTGGGGGGATGGTGCATCGTCTGCCAAGTCTTTTGCTTTCGTAGTGAGTGATTTTCGTGTGCAAGTTCGGTACTAGTCCCTCTAGGATTTTCCAGGTGTATATAATCATGTATCTCTCCCTCGTGCGTTCTAGGGAATACAGGTTTAGGAACCTCAAGCGCTCCCAGTAATTGAGGTGTTTTATCTCCGTTATGTATATTTCATTTAATTAATAGGTCCAGAGCAACTTGTGGTTATGACAGTGGTAGGTATCGAAGGGGGACATTTTTTGCGAACTAGGTGTCCCAAATTCCTACTTGTCTATGTAACATTGATAAATAATAATTATCTTTGTTATCATTTACTGTTATGTACATAATTAGTTACATTCAGATAAATGCAATTTTCCAAACTGCTGGAGCAGAATCCTCTATTTCCATAGGGGTAGTGTCAAGGGACTTTCCAGGAGAAAACGAAGCATCTTTCACATCTATTGGTGTATTATTATTATTATAATCAAGGGGGAAGCGCTAAACCCGGAGGATTATACAGCGCCTGGGGGGGGGGATGTGGAAGGCATTCAGGCTTAATTCAGGGAACTGGAGCACAGATCCAATTCCCTAAATCAAGAGCCCCTCACCAACATCAAGGAACCTTCCTTGAGGGGATCTATTGGTGTATCTTGAGATTCCACACTAATGGGGATTTCAACTGGGGCTAAATGTCTTGTAGATACTGTAGTCTCTTCACCATTTTGGTAGCGAAGTTAGTTAGTTTAGTTTAATATGTTTATTATGCACCCCATACCCATCCTGTGGGCGGTAGTCAAAAGATTACAGAGGTACATAATTGGTCCAGGGACTGGACTCCAAAGTTTTGATAGCTGAGCAAGTTACAGAGGTAATGAACTCACAATTTACAAAGGTAACGAACTCACAATTGTGGTAGCGAATGTGGGCGTAATGTGGATTAGCTTGCAGGAGCTCTTCCTCTTCCACTAAAGGATCCGTCTTGTTCATCCTACGGTGACTCTTCAGGAGAACGGGTCCAGGATGGCATAACCAAGTGGGCACGGAGGCTCCCGTAGAGGAACGACGTGAATAGTTGAGGAGTCTTTCATGAGGGGTTGCATTAGTAGCTGTGCACAGCAATGATCTAATAGAGTGAAGAGCATCAGGTAAGACAGTTTGCCAGTGTTGAACAAGTAGATTGCGCGACTTCAATGCATGACATACTTTAGGAAAGTGACCTTTCTTGTGGCATTTATGGCACATTGCTTCACGAGCAGGACACTTTGGACGTGGATGTCTTGAAAAACCACAAAAGAAATACACCGTACCTGCTGCTGCTGTCACTGAGGCAGGTTCCACAGTAACTTCATTGCAAGAGTCTTGGTCAGGAATTGCAGCACTTACCACTCGAGAAGGCTGAGTGGTACTGTATACTTCAGAATTCTTCTGGGCTGAATCTAGAGCTCTTGCCTGGTCAAAGGCAGCGGCTAAGTCGAGAGTTTTATTCTCCAATAAACGCTGCCTTATTATTGGTGATTGCAGGCCACTGATAAAAGCATCCCTGATGGACTCTTCACAATACTGAGCAGCTGTCACTGCTTGGAAGTGACAGTCCTTACCTAAAATTTTCAGTGCTTGAAGGTATTCCTCTAAGGATTCATCAATCTGCTGACGGCGAGTTGCAAGGAGATAATGTGCAAAGATTTCATTTGTAGGTTTAATATACTGAGACTTGAGGGTTTTGATAGCATCTTCGTAGGTATTACACTCAGAAATAGCAAAATTGATGAGCAGACTTAGTTTATCTAGATCTTCTTTAGGAAGGGCTCCCAAGAAGTTTTCGAAAGTCTTAAACCAGTGCTTCCATTCCTGAGCAGCCGTTGATAAGCTGGGGTCAC